TATGCTTCGTGTACTCGTTTTCTACCACTTTCTGTAGCATGCGCTCTTCGACAAAAGGCAGAGAACGGCTCTAATAGGGTGACACACTCATACTGGCTGACACGCCCAACCGTCTGCAGAGAACTAGAGTATAAGTCGAACAACTGGCTTGCCTCATTGTCAAGAAAAGGACTAAGGGACATTTTTACGTAGCTATGCTTTTATCGATTGTCCTCAACTATAAGGATTCTAGACATTTTTCACTTCCTCAAGTTTCAACTACAAATATATGCTTACCTTCCATCAGAAGGGAGACGCTGAGCATCCTACCATCTATCGGTGATGCATAGCAGAAATGCTACGAGAATGTGTTACAGTCATAAGAAAGCCATGAATTGATACCGTAACACGAGTGTTTTCTGTTTTTCTTATCAAGCCTTTTATCTCACTGCTTTTCTTACCGTACTCAAGAGCTAATCGCGCACGAACAAACGATGCAGACGAACACCTACACGCCCAGTATAATCGAAAGTCCTGTCTTCATTAAGCACATTGCCTCAGAGCTAAATAACTTTACAGTCACCAAAAACATCATACTGTTTAACATCCTTTGCTGTTTATCAGATAGTTTCATGAACCGTCCCTGGACAGCGCAGCTGTTTTGGATTGAAAGAATCTTGACAGTTCGATTTCCATGACGTTAATATTAGAATTTTCCTACTTTTTTTGTAGAACAGTGGTAGTCTATTTTCCCGTCTGGCGAAAGCAGGAGATTGCAGATAACTTAGCATTCAAATACCTTAATACATTCCAGCAGCGCCGAAAGATATTTTTCCGCTTCAGTACAGATTTTCATAGGGCATCGTACCGTATTTTGCACTCCGACCTCTGCTGTTACAATAGCGTCTTCACCTAGCAATTCCCAATTTTCTATCTTGCGAACACATCAACAAACGCGCAGCACAACCATCATTTGCGGCCGTTATTCAGGAATCGCAGTGGAGTCTGGTATCAGTACTGATCCCGTGGCAAACCAGCTCATAAGCTAAGTCTTACTGTACGCAGACGATGAACGTCCTCTCCGGACACTTTGCACATTCGTCAGCAAATTCTGTCGTTTTGTCTTAGAAATGGAAAGAAAGTAGTGCACAGTGCTCCAGGTTCAACTGATGAGGTACAAATGTCTTTTTTTCCATTGCAAAGTGCGGAAAGGTGAGACAGATGTCCTTAGCTTTACTGTACCCGACTTCGATGTCGATAATTACGACTTCGTTTTAGTGATGATCTTGTGGTTAATAGTAATCACCTTATCAGCCTTTTTCGCTTTAACGTCGGTTGCACTCAGTGAATACGCGAAAGTTCTTTGTAAGCATTGCAGTGAAAGGCAGTGCATTTCACTATGTACGATACGTTAGGGGTGCTTCGAGGAGTTTGTGATGTATTTCTGTTAGTGCCCTAATTCAAGAATTACATCAATTTCAGTTTTCCACATAATACTCCCAAACCTCTACTGCACGAACTTCATTTCTTTTATTTCTTCTTTTTTTTGAATGATCATTTAGTGCCGGAGAATGAGAAGAAACGTTTGTGAGCAGAGGCACATACTTGGCAACCGTTTTGTTTCTAGCATGGGATCAGCAGTCTCGGGAAGCTGGTTTTGCGAAGGAGCCTTATTTCAAAATTTTTGGCAGGTTTCATCGGTTTTTTTTCTTTCAATTCAATGATCATTCACCACCTTTTCATTTTTCCGACCTCACTACCAACGACCACCAATTGTTTCGTTTTTTAGGGAATGATCCTTGAGCACACTGTTCGAAACATCTTCACCCTCGATCATTCAGCAGTGTTCCTTATTCAAGAGTGGTGGCGAGCGCTGAATGTTTCCAAATGAAATCGCCTGAGCGAATCATATGGGTGGTTCGACACGCGGAAAGGTGTGTAAGTTATAGTCTCATGAGATTGGGGAACACCTTCCCGTTTCCGTTGCTTCAAATGTAACATAGCACGTGTAGCTATAATATAAATCAAAATTCCGTTTACCCACACGATCTCGACGGGTATTACATAACTCAGAGAAGCTAACTGGGCATATTTCGATTTCCTCGTTGATGAAGATACCCGTAAAACGTTTCGACGTCAATTTCAATGAATGATGTAGAAAGGGGGACAAGAACATTGATGGTGGACATGTAGAAGGGTGAGAGAGAGCTGGGTTTCCAGGTTCCCAATGCCTCAACTCGTCGTGAAATAATTTTCTCGCAGAGAAAGGGTGATATGAGGATGGGAAACAGGGTACGCTTGCCGTTAGTGAACATTTCTCGAACTGCGATTCCTTCGGAATTTCCTCTTCAAAAATAAAGGAAACGACCGCCTTTTTCCCCATACATATTTCACCTACCATCTTCCTCAGCGTTCCCAACTTCCTACCACTCAGACCCTTTTCCTGATTTTTTTCAAAGCTCTCCACATTTCCCGAAAAAACAATCGAGCGGGGAGGATATGCAGCGCACTATGTCTCATCTTTTCTTCTCTTTTACGACTTTTGCATCTTTTACGACTGTGCAATTACCCGTGTACTTCAATTAGTGGAGGCTCAGCGGACAAACACCTCCCATTTATTTTTCGAAATCAACGCCAGTTGAATGTATCTCCAATGCAGCATGTTAGCACGTAAAGTTCTACAGTACTTGGTAAGCAAACGAGGTTCTGAGTTTTTCTATGGCGTGATTTCTACCATGTTGATCTGCAGAAAGCCTTGTTCGGCTGCAGTAGCCCATCTACGCTAGTACTTTTGGGCTTCGAGAACACATTTCCATTCTAATAATTAGTGAATCTTTTGTAAGTGTCGGCAGTCTTGCAGGTGACTTCGGGTCTTTATGAGAGCTTCTGTAGGAATAATTGCCGACACCTACGAAAGCATCATTAATTGCTAGTATTAAAAAGGTCCCCCCCCCCAAATAATCAAGGTTCTACCGAACCGATACTAACCGTATAAGCCTTTCCATGAAAAAGTCATCAGCAGTCACGTTATGGTAGAAAAAAAAAGAATGCGACGGCTAGTGCTGTGATTCCCATTTCGATGCCCCAAACGTCAAAAATTATTCGAAAGATGCGTTGACAGAACTAAAATAACAACTTGGCTTCAACCACGTGATAGTCACTGAAGAAACATAGTAGCCGAAGAGGGCCGTAGCCCAAGGAGGGGAGACAAGTGTTGATGGTCAGGGATTACCGTGTCATGCACGCGATGGTGTACGTCAGCCAAACTTTCGGTTTTATGAAAATTGTCCACCAGTGGTTTGTTCAACGAGCGTTGGGAAATAGCGAGGACTTGTCAAGCGGAATCTTGTTCATTCTTTAGATGCGTTGCCATTTCTTAGTGTTGTGCCTAATTGAAATAGACGTTTCACATTAAGATTATCAGCGATGCAATGCTGCAATTTTATAGGGAAGATAACGTAAACCCCGACTGGCAGGATCTTCCCGAAGCGAAAGGATTGAATAAAGACAATCCCATGCTGAGTGCGAGGGGACGTAAACAGGCAAGAGAATGTGCAGCAAGGTTTGTGCTTAGGCTGCGTTTATACTTTGCGGCAGCGTAGCGTAGCGCTTCCAGCGTACGCCAGCGGCAGTGCCGGGGAAAGGATAGATATCGATCTAGCTTCACCAGCGTCACCAGCGTACGCTAGCGGCACGCCAGCGTGCGCTAGCGCGCTGGCGTAGCGAGGGCACGGGAAGCATAGCTATCGATCTAGCTTCACCAGCGTTTCTCGAGCGTTTCTCCAGCGGCACCAGCGTTTTGCTAGCGCTTGCAGCGGCAGGGAGTAGAGACTATGTGGCCGTGAGAGACGCGGAATCGACGTGTATTGTAGAGACTATGTGGCCGGCAGAGACGCGGAATCGATGTGTATAGTAGAGACTATGTGACCGTCAGAGACGCTCGGTGCCGAAGTTATACGAGTAGAGACCATTAGGCCGTCGGAGACGCAGAAGCGATGTGCATTGTAGAGACTAAGGGCGAGTGAGAGACGCGCAATCGATGTGTTTTGTACCCTCCAGCTCTCCCATAGTCTCTACTCCCCTGCCGCTGCAAACGCTAGCAAAACGCTGGTGAAACGCTGGAGAAACGCTGGCGTACGCTAGCGTGACGCTGGTGACGCTGGGAACGCTAGATCGATATGCATCCTCTCCCCGGCACTGCCGCTGGCGTACGCTGGAAGCGCTACGCTACGCTGCCGCAAAGTATAAACGCAGCCTTACAGCGAAATGTCATTGAGATTGTAAAATGTTCCAAAAACTTCTTCAGATTTCGTGACATTAACTTAGCTCATATATTTGCGTCCCCCTTTGATAGAACAATGGAAACTGCATCGATCATTGCGGAAGGCAAGGATATGCTCGTAAAGGTCACATCTATCTCTACTCTGAACTAACTGTACACTCAATATCTCGAAGCTAGGGAGAGCGCGGCTGCGTGCTTCATTCGAACATAGCGTAGAAAACATTGTTCGGATATTCCCACACGAGATGACTGTTATCTTATCTTCTGCTGGACAACAACATGATTACAAGTGTACCACAATGAAAATAAGCCACCGGAAGCACAGCTGCCTCCACGTTCAGGTTGAGCACGCAGCCACGCCCCTCGCGCCCCTGGGACATGGAGTGTAAGAGCCCGGTAATCAATGTAATTTTTTCTAGCCAGAAGCTGGGCTGTGTGAAGTCCTTACTGAGTGCGATGATCCGCCTGGTTTCTGGAACACCGAGAGGTTGAAGCGCAAGTTCATATGGGTGGATACTGAGTATGAACCGGTTTATGTGAAGGTATCAGCTAATCCACGTATCCAAAATTCAAGTATTAGCGTGTGTTTAGATACATTCTTCTGATTAGTCTGTCTGTAAGGTGCTCCTATCGTTTATAAGGAAGTACTGTGTGGATGGTCCTCCCACAGTCAAGAACCGTTTTTTGACGCGGATACTCCATATACTGCGATTGCGGCTGAGTATGCGGCGCTTGCAGCGTGCCATATATTTTGGCAGATCTTTTGATCGCAGCAGGGCAAATCATTGTTGGGGAATCCCCAAGGAAGGGGTTTCGTATTTAGTCACCGGGAGAGGGGAGTCGTATTTGAGCTGAGAAAAATTTATGGGGGGGGGGTCGTAAGTGCTCGTTGTTGGGAGAGGAGGGGTCGTATTTCCCTTCTGGCCTTCTGAGAGAGGTGGTTGACTCTTCCGATTCACGATTTTCCTGTTTTATGTGTACTATATACCCCCCTCCCCCCTGGACAGCAAAATTTTTGGGAGAGCTAAGAAAATTTCTGGGAAAATCTGAAAAAGTGGTAGGAAGTTGGGGAAAATCTAAGGAAGGGGGGGTCGTACTTCCCTCGCGGTTTTCCCCGTTTCACATGTGCTATTTACCCCAACCCCCCCCCCCCCCACCTCGACAGCTCGGTGAGGAGGGCACAAGGCCAGAGAGGTTGGGGGGGGTCGTACCAACCCTAAAAAAAGGGGGGTTCGTACGGACTCGATGAAAATCCCCACCAATGATGTGCCCTGGATCGCAGTCGCTCTCTCAGGTCTGTACTCCGAAGACCTTGTTGCAACCGGCGGCGGCCAATATTTAAGTGGAGTGCAAAATGCGTGGTTTTCGTGGCCATGGTCGCTGTCTTGTTTTCAGGACTGGTTTCTATGAAATACCGCAGCACTGGCAGCACCGTGGCGTTGATTATAGAGGCTCTACGGTCAGAATCGTTAATTTGCCCCTTCACGAATTTTTTGGAAAGCTGCCTATGCTGCATGTCTTCTGAGGCTTATTTCAGAATGGACATTGTTCAATATGTTAAGTCACACATCGAAGAGCAACTTCTGCCAATTTCATTATTTCCGCGTCACACCCTTGGTTCACCGTCATCTGCGTCTTGGAAGTATAAATTTCCGAGCCAAACTTCTGATCACTCATATAGAGCTCGTTTATTATATCGTCCACTTCGGCTGTGTTATTAAGTAACAGTTTGGCTAACAAACGCTGCCGCGCGCACGACGCAGTGAACTCACGGTGGAGCTTACCATCATCGACACGATATCATCACTCTTCCCCTTGAACCTTGTACTCCCGTCCTCCTTTTAATTTGACTGAGTTCCGCACCTCCTCGACTTGCCAGTTTTTAAAATTTTACCGTTTCATAGAACATACCTTATATCCTTCTAGATATAATCCGCTAGGTATGTCTGTGTGTGTCTGTCTGTCTGTCTGTCACGAAATTCATAGCGACCGTCCCAGTAGCTGTAGGAAGTTGATTCCAAGCAGTGATATGGGGCTGTGATGGGTACACTAGTGGCGGGTGCAGGGAGTGAATCGTTGAGATCTCGTTTACGGCGTTTGATGCTCGATCTTCCGTTCTCAGCAAATCACTTCATATATAGGCTCTGAAATATGCTCTGAGAGCTTGCAGCACGCTTTGTTGACGTGACTCTTTCCAAGAGAGTAGCGCTAGGATCCATTTCCACAGCTCTCCGTTTTTCTAATCAAGTGGTTGCGGGAGCTTTGAGCGTTGTAGTATAATATGGTCGTGCAAAAGGTGAAGGGTCTGGCACCTGGACAAACCCTCAACAAGATATTTGTTGTCTTCGGATGGGTTGTCTAGTTGGCTCCAGCTATGAACTTCAAGGACAGCTTTCAGTTGTTCGCTGTGTAGGTAGGGGGGAGGGTGTAGGCCTATGCTTGTCGCACTTCAAGATTTGTTTCCTCACACCCATTTAGGTGGTGGTCTGAGTCAGTATCGAGTGCTGACTGCTACCACTACTATCAGTACCACTGCATTACGTAGAATAGGCTCCAGCAACGACTGGTTAAAGGAAGAACCCGCGATTACTCGCCATCTCAGATGGTGGATTAGGGGGTTCCATATAGACGACAAGGGGTTGAGTAACTCGACTGTGAACAAAAAAAGGCGTCTGACAGGTTTTTCGAACACGGAGTCTCTGTGGTCAAGACGGTAAAAAATCGAGGAGCCGTTCTCCATTCTCACTTCGGTTGGTAGATCTGTGGAGGCCCAAGTCGCCAGTCGTCGTCACACTTTGTGCCAATGGTATTAGAGTCGCCAACAACATACTTGTAATAGCTTCTCTCATTCTGAACTGTCTCTCCCAGGAGTTGTCAAACTTCGCATTCCCTGTCTGCAGTTGTGGAGGTTGGCGCATATTCGTTGATGATGGATATGGCACTCTGGTTTCTCGCTTGAAGGTTGCGAACAACGATACTAGGGCGACGATTTCGTGAGAGTCGACTAGATGACCACTGCCGGGTTCACGAGGACTCCAACACCTCCGACGTTCATGCTATCCACCATGGCTCCAGCGATAAGCAGCTCCCTGTGTTCGCTTTTTGTAATGGCTTCCGTTAGCCCTTTGTCTCTTGTACGACGATGTCGTGTTTGATCTGACCGCTTCTGAACAAAAGCATTTGAAAATCAGCTTCCGATACCAGCACACAAAGAGGCTGTCATCATGTCGTTGGGTGTGGGAGTTTCTGCGGTTTCGGTTATTCCGATGACGTCCTGACTCCCACACGAAATTAGATGGGCGCTCATCAGTGGTGGCTATTCCAGACTTTCAAGTAAAGCGTATCCGCTATGCGTAGGGTAGTCACGCAGTTTCTGCCATTGCCACAGTAGAGCCAGAGGACAAATAACCTGCTTAAAAGCAAAAGAGTATGACAGCAGACAAATAAGCATCTAAATGCTTCTTCGAGATCTGGGGCAAGATTGAGTGGTAAGGTTACCTCATGACCATCCATTTCCGAGGGTAGATCCAAGTCCAAGCGTGGATTTTTTTCTTGCTCTCTTATTGTCCATCCAGAATCGGTCGATACGCTGCAACTGTATATCAAAGCTTTCAGACGACGCTTCCTGAAGAGTTAGTCGGTGATCATTCCTGTATGCCTCGTATACGCCGCACAGTTGACCATTTGACAAATAATTATGATGGTAAGTGTCAGCCAAGAACTTGATATCATTGAAATTTCCCTTGTTGATTCAGGTGATTTGCTACTGGTAAGTCACGGGGCTCCAATAGCGTCACTGCATCAGATATGGGGTACAAACTTCACTTACGTTGGACAGGCGACTGTTTCAAAATTTGTCCAGTCAAAGGAGAGAGTTCGTATGGAGTTCAGCTCCGACTCCAGTCATCTATCTGATAGGAGTAATCTCAGGCATTTCTAATACCTTAAAAGCTTTGTAAAGTTGTAATCGGTTTGATAATCGCTTGATTCAAATGATTTAATTACATTTAAACGGATTAATAAGTCACTGCTTGAATAAAGTTTTTCTCTGGAATTGTGACTGAAACTGTGCATAGAACTGTGCGCGCACATTCCCATCCTGCCCGCAGAATCAGATCTCTAATAAGCTCCTATCAGAGCTGTTTTGGATGCTCCTGGCATCCAAAACAGCTCTGATAGGAGCTTATTAGAGATTTGAGGGCATGGGCTGCCCTGAAAACTTTCCAGGGGCCATGTCCCCGACCTATCCCCGACTCGTCTACGCCCTGGGAACTTACCTACCAGGACTGCTATAGCGAAATGCGCATTCGAAATCTCCGGAAACGATCGATCGCAGGACAGCGGCATGGTTCGAAGCGCAGCTAGAGCAGATTTTCACCAATCGTAGAGGACTCAAGATTACACCACTGTTGGAACGAGGCCGTCCTGGCTCCCTCCCATCCGCGCCGCGTGAAACACCCCTGTATGGACTATCTTTGTACTCACTACTCATAGCGGCCCTCACCCTGCCGCTCTCTCTGCCCTCAAACAAAAGTTTCACCGGAGCTGAATAGCGCCGACTCCGCGGCATGAATATCGCTTTCTCGGTGCCAGATTACCATTGAATGGAAGCTTCTCCGATTAGGGTAAAGGGATTGAACGCTAAAATCATTACCGGCGGCGCTGATGCCAAAAATCAGTGCCGTATTCGAGATTGAGATTTCATAGAGCGTCAGTAGCAGGTCTACATCCGTTTAGGTGGAAAAAGCAGCGGCGCTAGATTGTACCGGCATATGGGCGTCATATTCGTTATCAAGAGAATAGCCAGTACGGGCTAAGATCCAGCAGAAGTTCTTTGGGTTTTTGAAGCCAGAGTGGTTGAACAGGTCAGTTTTCTCAGCTGTACAGTCTACAAGTCTTTGTAGTTACTCTGGATGACTCGTCTTCCTATTCTTTGAGGCAGTGACTTTACGTGTCGGCTTGTCGGTCTGCAATTATGTGTGTAAGTGTGTGCAGTCGTCATCTGGGCAGTTGATTAGACGGTCGTCGAAGAGTCGCAGACGCGGCTGCAGCAGCGACCGCGTACGTAGGAACTGTTGGCGGCGATCAGCTGTTTCCGGCCTGGTTTAGTCATTTTCTCCTTACTTTTCACTGTTTTTGGCTTGGCCGCGTCTGTGATCCTTTCACCGCCTAATCGACTGCCCAGATGACGACTGCATGTATTTCGCTAATCGCAACTTAACCTACGGTTGAGAAGCTTTTTCTCTCAGTTACTGTGTAGCGATTAGTCATCCGCCGCTCAAGTTCTCAGCCTCTTATCTTTTGGCGGATCAGTGAGCAATGCTGCATTATAACGCTTCAGAATAACCTTTCTCTTTAGATTATGCTTGCATACTTCTTCATGATATTCGGTATAGAAGGAGGTCGACTGGATGATTGGGGCCGAGTCTGATTTGAGCCGTTCGAGACGACCAAGACGATCGACATAGAGGTGCGAAGCGGGTGAGTACTCGCAAGAGATAAGTTTTCGACCTTGCCCGATCACTTTGTGAGCCGCAATAAAATATCAGTGAAACCTTGAGTCCTGTACCTTCAGATGCGTGGCCAGTGACTGCTACAAGTCACT